GATCTTCACATATGGGAATCTAACTGGGATCCACTGGAACTGCTTCAGAATCAATGTAATATGCTCTTAGTGGTTGATACCTGCCTATAACTGGACTATCTCACTCTGGAGCAAATTCTGATATGTCTTTGCCTCAGTCTCACAGTGCATCTCAGATTTCTTTGGGACACTAATGACAAGGATGGCAACATCTGGCATGTTTCTAAGGAATAAGAACCCTTCAGAAGAAAAGAATACTGGTGAATACATTAGCGTGTGCTGACAACAAGACTTGGTTCAGACCTCAAGCTGGTGTTTCATAAAGCTGCTAGATTCAGTTTAGCTGATGATCTGCAACTGAATCCCAGTTTGGAAAATCAAAACTTCATGCTGCTACCATTCACTCCTATGGGGAATTGAAAGAAAGGCTACAGGCTTTTTTTCATTTTGACAGAATTGGGTGAAATTTACAGGCATAGTAGTCCTGCCTGATTGGAGAAAGTTAGCTAAAGTAGAGACAAATAGATTCAGGGAATTTTATGCTGGACCTTTGCTTTTGTTTAAAGAACATTTTTAAAAAACTTTTTAATTTTTTGGCAGAATTGAATAAAATTTGCAGGCACCGTGGCCTCTTTTGAAGTGCTGAATCCTGTCACATTTCAGAATGATGGTTTTATTGCAAGGATCAACCCTTACAATTTTGAGATAGTTAAAAAAGGATTCATTTACCCTCCCCATTCTTGTTTTACGGGCATTTTGTATGTGTAAATAACCCACACCACAGCAGTACCCCTTGGTCAGAAACTTGCCAAGTTACAGAGAAATGGATCCAGGATTTTGTATTATTTTTTGATAGGTACCTTTGAAGTTGTTATTTTTCTGGTGGAAGATTAAAAGAGATTTACTTCCCTTCCTGTGGTTTTATGGATAGCAATGTTAATATGAAAATGATGTACTTCAGGGTGGGGAATATGTGACCTGCCTTATGTTGTTGGACTCCAGTTTCCATCAGTCCTAGCCAATATGCACCATAGAAGTGCCCCTAGAAAAGTAACCTGCAAAATGTCAGAAGCATAGGTGAAGCGGCTAGGGAGTTATGATGAATGGGGGAAAAAAGATGGGCCAGGCTCTGGGGCCCAGAGACCCCCAGTGGTAGGCAGGGTGGGGATCCCTGTGTGGAGGCACCTGGGACTATGCCCCCTGACCCTCCCCACACTATGTCCCTGCCCCCAGGAGCAAATTTGGGGCTGTGTTCAGGGGAGGAGATGGGGGAAGTCCTGTTGCACAATGCCACAGGTTTTATTTAGTTGTAATTTAGGGGGATATTTATTTCCATGTAAAATGTGTTTAGCATCAGGCTGCTATTCAGTATGTTTTTCATAAATGTATCATTTGACTTGCAAAGCAAGTCAACTTTCTTAGGAAAGGTGTCTGGCCAGCAGTTCCCAGTTATCTGAGGCCAGCATTTTCCACTTAGCCCTTGTGGCTTGCTTGGAAACTCACAGCAATAGTTCATTCAACAAAAACATGGTATTTTTAAAACCACAGAACATCTTAGGACTCCTGAATTATTATTATTATTATTATTATTAATTGGCATATATTATACTTCATTGGAAATAAATCACTTCTTCTATCTAATGGTACATATCCTAGTTCAGTTGACAATTGTTTCAAACATACAATTATTTTTGCAGTATGTCCAGTGTATAGATGTAGTCATCCAGATTTCCATAGTTAATTGTTGAAATATTATTATAACTGCAGATAGTTTAATACTGAAGGCACACTATGGCAGAGGCTTGAAGTAGAGTAGCCAATGTAAAGTGGCCTGTGTATTCATATTACTTTAAAATATGGAAAGAAAAGCCATTTATTTTGAGACATCTGTACATTATATCAACACAATTTTCCCATTTTTCCCATTTGGATTGAAGTCTTTTTTTTTGAATGAATGAAAAAGCCATCTTTTGAGAGCTGAAGCTTTACAGAAGAAAGTAAAAAATAATAATAAATAATTGTGTGTTTCTTTTGAAATCCAGCACCTTTCACTCTTCCAGGAAGGTTGTTCTCCTGGGGTTGTAGTCAGGCAAAGCTGGAAAAGCACTAACTAGGCTTTGTGAAGGAGTTGGGAGGACTCTAGGACCCTGTCAGTGCCTCACTCCTCTTTCTCAAAGCCCAGCACCTTGCTTACTGGACTTTGAGAAGATGTCCCTGATGTCCCCTCAACTCAGTGCCCAGTGCGTGCACATCACTCACACACAGCCCTAAATCTGCCCTTGTTGGAAGTGAAGCATAGGAAATGGCCAATGGTAATAAGTAAAGTTAAAGGTAAAGGTACCCCTGCCCGTACGGGCCAGTCTTGACAGACTCTAGGGTTGTGTGCTCATCTCACTCTATAGGCCAGGAGCCAGCGCTGTCTGCAGACACTTCCGGGTCATGTGGCCAGCGTGACGAAGCTGCATCTGGCGAGCCAGCACAGCACACGGAACGCCGTTTACCTTCCCGCTGCTAAGCGGTCCCTATTTATCTACTTGCACCCGGGGGTGCTTTCGAACTGCTAGGTTGGCAGGCGCTGGGACCGAACAACGGGAGTGCACCCCGCCGCGGGGATTCGAACCACCGACCATGCGATCGGCAAGTCCTAGGCGCTGAGGTTTTACCCACAGCGCCACCCGCGTCCCTGGTAATAAGTAGCTATCCCCATAACTGACAGCAGGTTCACACAGTCAGGTTAAGTAAAAATTAAAATAAAATGGATTGTATCCAACGCTGGCCTTACATCAGTGGATTGGATTTCTGCTAGCGTAACAGGACTTCCCCATATGCTCCTCCCCTCTGCAGACCATCTGGAGCAGATTTTGAGGATATATCGGGGTCTGCAGGGGAGACATCCACTCACAAAACATGTATACAACTTTTAATTGACATCTGAAGTCAGCCTTGTATCAGGAAGTTTTTAATGTTTAACGTCTTACTTTGTTTTTGCGTGTGCTGGAGGCCTCCCAGAGCAGCTGGGAAAACCCAGCCAGGTTGGCGGGGTATAAATAATAGAATTGTTGTTGTTGTTGTTGTTTATTTGATACCACCCAATGTGAACTGAACTATCTGCTATTTTTGAAAATTGCAATGGAGTTTCAAAGTCTATGATCTTCATAATAGAGATGTGCCAAATTATTTGTACTGAGTAATTCAGACAGTTTGTATGTTTTATTTCAGAACAATAATTTATTGCAATATCTGTGAGAGTCACTAGATTTACACCCCCATTTTGAAGCAAAACTGCTTTGAGATCAGGAAAGTAGTTAAAATGGACTTCAGCCCAATGTATAGCTAAATTACATTATGTATATTCATTTAGTGTGTGCAAAAGTTTTCTCTTGACTTCAGACACCTGGAATTTGACTTCTAAATGAATGAATTTAATATGCATTAGTTTTGCTGTGTTTTATTTTATTTCATGGCCTTTACTGTTCTTGGTTTATTGCAGCATTTATTTACTGCATTTTAATCTACATTTCTTGCATTTCTCCCTTGCAGAACGTGGCTCCCCTCGTGACTTAGTTACCAGAGACATAACTGATACTACTATTGGAGTGTCATGGACAGCAGCTCCAGGATCAGTTAACCAGTACAGAATTATATGGAAATCACTTTATGATGATCAGTCTGGAGAGAAAACGGTTCCTGGAAACGTAATAAACACTGTACTGGAAAACCTTCGGCCTGAGACCAGATATAAAATTTCAGTCTTGGCTTCTTACAGAAGTGGAGAAGGAGCTCCTTTAGAGGGAGAAGCTACAACTGAAGGTAGATAGAATATAGAATCACTGGTAACAAAGATTCAAAACTTCTCATTTTATTATAATTTATAATTTAACGTTAATGGGAAATATCTAGTGTAGGGCCAGAAGACACGCAAGGAGATGTCCTCCTTGCACTCTGCATCTCCCAATCTGTGCTGTTGGGTTCCCCCAAACCCACAGAGCAGATTTTGGGGAAAGCATGGGGGTTTGCAGGGGGAAGAGAAATAGAGCATGTACATTGTACAGGTAAGTTTGCAATACTGATGTTACCCAATGCACCTAATATTGGTAGGGACCATACTAGGATTAAAAAAGGCAGGACCTGCTGGAATTGCGCACTATCTATTTAGTTCTTAAATACCTAATTATTAGTTATACTATAATTCTGAATCCTGGAGAATTTGCACCCAAGTTTGGAATATGAAGCAATCCATGTTGCCTAGTTGAGTTCCAATTCAAGGATTTGTCGAAAAGGACATTAGCGTCTCAGAAGTGTTTCCATAGATTTTTGTCTTAAAACTTGAACTGAGGTTTGGTTGTGGGCATAGTTCAATGAGATTAGCAGATGGAGTGTAGGTGGGCTACCCCTTTCTTTTATCAGACAGTCCTTGCATTCATGACAGCAGAGAATTGTTCCTTTTGCTTGCTTCCATTCATCCCATGCCAGAAGCTATGGGTTGGAAAGTTCAAGTTTGTGCCAACTTTGCTGCTGCACCATCAAACATTAAAGTCATGCAGGAGGAGTTGACTTGCCCAGCAGTACTGTAGTAATTAACAGAGCCACCTGCTATGGCTTCTTTTATTGTACTGAATGAACCAACAGGAAATGGGAAACAGTGTTTAGTGTGGCATAAAAGAAATTCCAAAGTTGAAGGGAAATAGTATACCCTGTGTGAACCTGGAACTGTTTGTTCAAAGCACTGAGAGCCATTGTTGCAGCATTTTAATTATATATGGGTGAAGATTCTGTGGTTGTGAGAAGCCAGGAAGGCCTGGTCTTTCCAGAGCTAAATGCAAATATGGAGGAGCAGTTGGATTTTCTAAATATTGAGAGCACATTTCCCAAATTTGAGAAATTTTTGCTCTTAAAAGGGATATTTACCAACTTTCACATGGAGAGATAGTATAGAAGTATGGCATAGAATCATAGCATTGTAGAGTTGGAAGGGACAACAAGCGTCATTTAGTCCAATCCCCTGCAATGCAGGAATCTGTTGTCTAATGTAGGGCTTGAACCCACAACCCTAAGGTTAAGAGTCTCACACTCTACCGACTGAGCTACCGAGGCAGTATAAACCAGTGCTAATCTGGAAGGAAGTTTGCAGTTTTCCAAAAGTTCAGAATCCCAAACTTTGTGGGAGAAAAGCTGGACATGTGCATACCTGCAATATTACAGAGGGCTGTAGCTGCAGTTTATATGTCAAGTTACGTTTCACCAAAAACAAAAAAACCCACCCCAATATGTTTGCTTTCATTTTATTTCACACTGAAAAGTGTCTCCTAGCTCTAGGACCGTGAGAGTGGATGAAGAGAAAGAGACCACCATGAGAGTTACCTGGCAGCCTGCACCTGGAAAAGTTGTCAGCTACCGTGTAGTTTACCGGCCCCGTAGAGGAGGAAGACAAATGGTTGCAAAAGTGCCGCCTTCCTCCACCACCACCGTCCTGAAACGGCTCCAGCCACTGACTACTTACGACATCTCTGTCATTCCAATGTATAAAACTGGTGAAGGAAAACACAGACAAGGCGAAGGAACAACAGGTGCATTGATTTCTACGCCGCATGAATGTAGAGAGGGGTGTGTGTGTGTGTGTGTGTGTGTGTGTGTGTGTAAATTCATTCCTGCAACATGTACAGGTGAGTTTTTTAAAAGAGGCCCCATGCAACATGTGTACTCTGTATCCACAGAGCCTCTTTTAAAGGACTCACCCTGTATGAGCATTGGCAAGGCTGCCAAAGACTGTAAATGTTAGTTTAAGATGTCATATTTTGTCATCTATGTGTGTGTTTACAATATTATTCTAGCTATTTTTAAACATGCTCCCTATCTGCTCCCAAGGTGACATGGGAGGGCCAACCTCGCCAGATGTGGTATAAGCCGCTTGTCTCCTGCAAACCACACAAGGATTCTGCTGATCTGTGTGTTAATTCTTGGTTAAGCCCAGTGACAGAAAGGGAGATTAGCAAAGTGGCACAAAGAGCAAACAGGGAATTTATATGGGATTCTTTTGGCACACATTTTCAAGCAGCTTTATACCTCTTTTTAAAGTACTGCTTCCTGCATGCCTTGTTTAGCAGTATGGGAAGCTGCTTGACTGTGTGGCAATTAGAAATTACCTACTTGGATTTCTAACTGTTTTGTATGGAATTTTAGTGGTTCTCAAAGCTTTCAATCTGAGCCAGAATTATTCGGTAAAACTTAATCTCAGGAACATTTTCAATTCCAGGGCTCCACAATGGAATATGTATAAATTATGAATAAAGAACAGATAACTTGAGCAAGTTCTCCTGGTAACCAGCCCTTAACACACACCACACCTCTGATCTTAGAAATTAAGCGGCCTTCTGTTGAGGCTGCTTCAGCCAAAGTAGAATAAATATTTTAAAATGGTTTTCCACTAGAGAGCTAGGTTTGATGCTCTTCTTTCAGAGGCTCCGACTTTGAATCATCATAGGAGCTATTAACAGAGCGGCCTTTTGCAGTAACAGTGGTTTGAAAGGATGTTATAATTATGTCTTGCTATCAGTGATCGAGGAAGTGGGCTCACATTATCTTCTCCCCTAAGACTCTTGAGTTTAGCGAGTTTAAAAAGCAAGAAGGTGCCTGTTTCATTCCCTACTAGAATCCATGGCTTTTGCTCTTTGAGATTAGATTGCTGCCCTTTTAGCTAAAAAACCAACAAACAAACAAACAAACTGCAAATGAGAGAGCATTCAACCCACTTGGAAAAATTGGCTCAGGAAGGAATCTATTGCTTGTTAAACCAGTAGTATATTATTCCAATGTTCTTTGATCTGCATTGGCTGCACTGCTTGCCAGTTTCCAGATACAGTGCAAAATTGATGATGAGTGTTAACTAGCTTTAAGGTGCTCTAAATGGTTTGGAGCTTTAGAGACTAGTTCTCTGCTCCTGTTCCTCTTGGCATGGCAATGATTAGGTCATCTGAATTGCTTCAAAAATGAGAATGGTTGAGAGTTTTGTGGCACCTTACAGGTGAATAGAAAACATAAGTTTACAGATTAGAGCCCCCTTCATCTGAAGCATAGAATGTAAGAGTTACAGTGTGTGACATTTCAATGAAAACCTAAAATGTATACAACTTTTTAAGTAATCACTTATAGCAGCTATAATGAGTGATAGCACCATCTCCATAGCTTTGCTCATTTAACAATCATAATGTGTGGGGGGCGGAAACCTATGGTGGAATCCATTTGGTAATATTGTGCATATGCAAGGGCTTTTGATCCAGTAGAGGGATCTGGTAATAGAAGAGGAAGGGAGGGGTGGTTTTTTTTACCATATCTCCTTCCTCCTATGCCATATTCTACCCTGTTCTGAAGGATCCCTCAACTCCTTGGAACCAGTTTTCTTGGGCTGTTAAGGCAAAGCATACAGGTGCTATAATGCATTTACTTTTTAAAAACTGAAATGAGGGTTTTATGGTTGAATATAGCAAACACTTAATTTCTTGGGTGTTGTTTGACTATTGCAGCTTCCCCATTTAAACCTCCCAGAAATCTGCACACTTCTGATTCTACGATGTCAAGTTTCCGTGTAACCTGGGAGCCAGCCCCTGGTGAAGTGACGGGTTATAAAGTAACTTTCCATCCAACTGGAGAAAGCAGGCGCCTTGGAGAATTAATAGTTGGGCCATATGACAACACTGTTGTATTGGAGGAGCTCAGGTATTGCCACTCATAATTTCCTTCCTTATCTGTATTCCCCCCCCATAGGTATTTTTCAGTCAACTGCATCTCTTTCAGCATATAATACCAATTCTATCATCCTATGTTTATTTTTAAAAGTCTATTTCATTAGCTGCCTTAGATGCCAAAGGCAGAAAGGCATGGTAGATATACTATTCAAATAAATGAATTAAAATATGACCCTCAAGAAAGCTTGTAAAACCCTTCTGCTGGGTCTGTAGTTGTCAGGGAACTGCCATCAGGGCAGGAGGGAGAGAGCAAAAGCCAGATGGATTATAGAGAGCCTCCAGGGATCGTGGGAAGTAGCTCCTCTTCAACAGAAGAGAATAAATGCAGCTCCAGTGGAGAGGAGGTGCAGGAGTCGGAAGTGGCGAGGCAGTCCCAGGACTCCTTGCCTGGGAGAAGCGGGGAGGGAAGGGGTCCTCCGCTGCCCACGCCCTCTTTGCGCAGAAAGCATTTGCGCAGAGAGGGGAGGTGCAGACTGGGCGTCAAGGAACTGCTTTGCTGGAGAAAGTTTAAGAACCGCCCACTCACGGATTCTGCCAGAGATTGAGTCAGCCACGGGAGAGTGGCGCTCCGGACTGATAAAGTTTATTTTGGCAGCCAAGCCATGTCTTCACAGCCAAGTAGGGAGATATTTGCCTGCTTGCTCCCGAGCAACCCCTTGGAAGCATAACAGTAGTTGTTAGCTGTCTTGATGGTCAAGCTTGGCTCAAAGCTAGGAGATACAGCTATAGATATTCAGTTGTAAGGACCAATCTCTTGCTTCAGTAATAGTTTTTTGCTCAGTGCCATTTTTCTAGAAAAAGAGGTGCTGGAACTCACAATGAACACCTCCCTTGTTCTCTTAGAATGGCAATGGCGCTCACCTGAGAGGTGCCGGAAAGGAGTTCCTGTGAGTTCCCTGTGAAAAAGAAAGCTTTAGATTTCAGCTCCTAAGGCCTTACCCTGCCTTAAAAATCCATGACAGGGAGAATCATCATACTTTAGTGGTTAGTGTTTATGAACTCTGATCAAGAAGACCCAGGTTCCAATCTACACTTGGCCACAAAGCTTTTTTGAAGATCTTGTTGGCCCAGCCTAACCGACCTCATATCCTTCTTAGGATAAAATCAGTGGGGAGAGAGCCATGTATTCTGCCCTGAGCTCCTTTGAGAAATGGCAGGATTCAAAACAGAGTGAATAAATCTATAAAGATGTCAAAGTGACCCATCCATTCCCAGTCTAATTTGCTTCATATATACATTTAAATCATGCAGGGCAGGCACTTCCTACAAAGTCAATGTTTTTGGAATGTTTGAAGGAGGTGAAAGTGCACCACTGATTGGAGAAGAAATGACTACCCTTTCAGATACTGCTGAGGTGCCCTTTTTACCTGAAGGTAAATATGGTTTTAATGAGAAGCCCGTTTCTTATTTGGATATTCTAGCTGTAGATCTTTACTTTTATAAAACTGGTAAAGCGAACATAATTAACTGATACAGTTATTTACTTGCAGGAGTAATTGCAAAAAGAAAAGGCTGCTTTTCATGAAGACCACTCCTTGGTCTTTAGTGACCATTTTTAAAGATAACTTCCCTCTCTGTTAGTTTCCATCTTTATGAAAAGGCTCTCTCTTGTTTGTGAAGACTTAAATGATTATTGCCCCATTTCACATTATAGCTATGCAGACTTACACAGTTACTCATGCATTGTCAAATACACGATATACACACACCATACAGCACTATATGGAGTCAATAAACAGCCCATATGGTGCCACCACTGTCCTTTTTCTGGAAATTAGAAAATGCTGTAGGAAGGATTTTGAAACCTTTCAAAGAATTTAGGGCAGGCATAGGCAAACTCGGCCCTCCAGATGTTTTGGGACTACAACTCCCATCATCCCTAGCTAACAGGGCCAGTGGTCAAGGATGATAGGAGTTGTAGTCCCAAAACATATGGAGGGCCGAGTGTGCCCTATGCCTGATTTAGGGTGAATAAAATTTGGCCAGGATCTGAACAGCTATTTTATATGTGTCCAATGACTTCACCCATTGAATTTTTAAAAACATTTTTCTTTGATCCCTGTGGTGAATAACATACCATGTTTGAACATTCCCCAAATTTTCAAGAGGTTTACTCTATGGCAAGTGTTTGAAAAACTCCAAGCAAACATGGACATCTGGAATTACTTTCTTCAGTTCTTTGGATCTAGGACTGTTTCTGCACTGTTTCTGCTTGATAGTGCAATCTTAAATACATTTACTATGGAGTAAGCCCCAGTGCACACAGTGCAGCTTCTGAGTAAGCGTGCATATAATTCACTGTGCAGTAGTTCACTGGCCAAAACTGAAACACTGTCGGGAGGTATATAATGC